ATGTGGCTGGGATTATAGGCATGTGCCACCACGCCCAGCCCTAATTTTGTATTTTGGTAGAGACGGAGGTTTCTCCATGTTAGTCAAGCTGGTCTCGAACTCCCGACCTCAGGTGATCCACCCTCTAAGCCTCCCAGCAGTGCTGGGATTACAGGTGTGAGCCACCGCTGCCTGTGATAATAATTGGGGTTTAGATCTACCATCTTGCTATTTGTCTTTGACTCATCTCATTTTTTTCTTCTCCCTCTTTCTCTGCTTTTTTAGAGGGTTAATTTTTAAAAATTTATTTCTGTCCTTTTGACATCTTGTGCTTTCTTAATTCTTTATTTTTATTGGTTTGTTTTCAGATTTATACACTTTTTTCTTTTCTTTTTGAGACAGAGATCTCACTCTGTCACCCAGGCTGCGATCTTGATGTGCGATCTCGGCTCACTGCAACCTCTGCCTCCCATGAGTTCAAGTGAGTCTTCTGCCTCAGCTTCTCCCAAGTAAGCTAGGACTACAGGCATGAGCCTACCATGCCGGCTAATTTTATCTGCCAAGTAGGAGTAGGGTTCCACCATGTATCCAGGCTAGTCTCGGGTAACTCCTGGCCTCAAATCACTCCCGCCCGGCCTCCCATAAAGTGGTAGGATTACAGGCGTGAGACACGCACCACCAGCCTACTATACATTTTTAACTTGTCCACTGAAATTCAAGTGATATAATATAACCTCATATATAGTCAAAGAACACAACATACATTTCTATTTATTCCCAATATTTGTTGTACTGCTTATTTATTTACATATTTTAATTTTTTCGTATGATATAAACCCCACAATACATTATTTTTGCGTTAATCAGATGACCATCAAGGCAGGTGGATCACCTGAGGTTAGGAATTCAAGAATAGACCAACATGGTGAGAACTTCACATCTCTGCTATAAATGGAAACTTGGCCAGGTGTGGTGGCACGCTGCCTGTAATCCCAGCTACTTAGGCGAGGCTGAAGCAGAGAATAACTTGAACCTGATATGAATGAGACCATACTTCTCCTGTTGTCCTTCCCAGCTTTTCCTAGTCTCCCCTTTTCTCTAGTTTTATAAGACAGGAGAGGAGAAAACCAAAAAGTTGGGGAAGAAAGAGCAGAAGTAAGATAAATAGCTAAGGAACAACCTTGGCATGCCACACAGCCTGGTGGTTAAGATAATAATAATTATATTAACCCCGGACCAAACTACTAGTGGCTTATCTGTAAGTCCGGACATTTGTGGCTTCACTGTAAAACTTTGTTCTGTTAAGCTGATGCATATATCCCTAAATCCGTTTTCCATACTTGCCGATTCTATCGCAGCCCGCTACCCATGCAGATCCATTAAAGTTGTAAGCCTTCAAAAAGGCCAAGCATTTCTTCTTCAGAGGCTTATGGCTCTTAGGCGCAAGTCACTGCACTTGTGCTCTGAACCGAATAAAAATCTCTTCCTTCTTTAGTCCAGTGTGTGAGGAAGGATTTTGTCTGGCAACCGTCCTGCTGCCTCCAGAGGTGGAGGTTGCAGTGAGCCAGATCGTACCTTGCCTGGTCAGCCTGGGCAACAGAGTGAGACTCTGACTCAAAAGAAAACGCACTCCTTATACTCACTCCCATTTAGTTACGTTTATCTTGGTGTTCCTCATTTCTTTGTGTAGATTTGGTTTTCCATTTGGAGTATGACATTCCTTCTGCTTGATGGACACCTTAGAACCTCTTGTAGTGATTCTTTTGCTTTTGCTGTATCTGAAACGGCACATTTCTCCCAGACTCTATCTCTCTCCTCTCCTTTGAGACTCAGTGCTACCCCGTATTTCACCACTTGAAGGTAGACCACAGTTCACTGATGCTCTTTACATTTTTCTAATTGTTGTCTCCAATTTCATTTGGACAGTTTGTATTTGTACTTTATGTTTTCAAGTTCGCACAGTCCTTTTTTTCTGCGACAGTCTGGCTGCTCTGTTGCCAGGCTGGGTCTGATGGCGGTGATCTACTGGCTCACTGCAACCTCCGCCTCACGGAGGCGATTCTCCTGCCTCAGCCTCCCAGTAGCTGGGAATACAGGAATGCACTGCACGCCCAGCTAAGTTTTTGTATTTTTAGTAGAGATGGGTTTCACCATGTTAATAGGTTAGTCTTGAACTCCTGACCTCAGGTGATCCACCTGCCTTAGTCTCCCCCAAAGTGCTGGGATTATAGGCGTGAGCCATGCGCCCGTCCACTGATCCTTTTTATTTTTTACATTATTCCATTAATCCCATCTCATGTATTATCTCTCTCCCAGACTATTCCTTTCTTTCTGTCCCAGAGTTGAGTTTGAGGAACTTTTTGTCTTTTGTAACATGTTGTCTTAAACAATCAGCATCTTCTAGACATATGGAGATATGATCACGCTTATAAGAATGTGTGTGTCTATCCTCTACTTCTGCCCTGTCACACTTTGTCATTTCCAGGTCAGTTCTGCCAAACTCACCTCCTGATTCAAGCGATTCTCCTGTCTCAGCCTCTAACTAGGGCTGAGTTACCTTTGAGATGGAGTCTCGCTCTGTCACTCAGGCTGGAGTGCAGTGGCGTGATCTTGGCTCACTGCAACCTTCACCTCTTGGGTTCAAGGGATTCTCCCGAGTTGCTGGGACTACAGGCGCCCACCACCATGCCTGGCTAATTTTTTGTATTTTTAGTAGAGATGGGGTTTCACCGTGTTAGCCAGGATGGTCTCCATCTCCTCACCTCGTGATCCGCCCGCCTCGGCCTCCCAAAGTGCTGGAATTACAGGCGTGAGCCACCATGCCCGGCCAGTAGACTTTTGTTATACAATATACAAGGCATATTCCAAACTGTGAATGTCCCCATTGTGCACTTTATAATGATTTTTCCTGACCCGGATCCATTCCAGCACCATGCAGTGAGGACTTCTGTTTTTGTTTGTTTTACCTTCCTCCAAGGAAGGTTTACTTTTCTGTCCGCAAGTGTCCAGGTGAGTGGCTCACCTTAATTCTCTCAGGGCTTGAGGTGATTTAAGGCTGGCTTCAGTCCCTGCAAAGACAATTCTGTTTCTGGTTCACCTTTGCTTTTAGGGGATAGCCCTTTGGTGTCCCAAGAAAAGCCCAAAGTCTTTACCAGGCACCACTGCCTGAGCCTCGACTTTTGTCGTGTGGCCATAGCGTGGGGAACGCATCAGTGTGTCACCATGTCTTGTGTGGCTGGGATACGCTGTAGGGGTGTTAGGTCGCGGCCTCAAAGCTGGCCCCACCCCCTCCCGCCTTGGCCCTGCAGAGCTCCTCGGCCTCAGAGCTCCCAGCGCCTTGGACGGTTCCGTGCCGCGCTCTCCAGCTCTGATGGTTGCTCTCAGGAGGCGGCTGGTCTGAAATAATTCAGTTTCCATTGCTGTGTCCAGCGCCACAGTGTGGGACTGGTGGTTTCTTAGTTTTTTTCAGTTCTCTGACGCTTTGAGGAATTGTTTTTAAAGCAGTTTATCTACCATTTTAGTTGTTTTCTCTGGGGTTGTTGGACGGAGGGTCTTACCCGCTGTTCCTGGAGACAGTTCTGTCCTGGCATGTTTTTCTCACCTTTCCCTTCCTTTCTTACCTTTTAGTTTTTCATTGAATTTTATTACTTTTTTTTTGTATTACATTTTCCTCCCTGCTAATTTGGAATATATACACACTATTTCTCTTTTAAATGGCTAATCATGACATTTTACCTTGCAATTTCAACATAAGAAGTCCTAATGTTAAGAATATTTTAACCCCATCCCCAAAATAAAGACTCAGAACACTGTAACTCTAATGATCCTTCCCCCAACTTACAGAGGATTATTGTCCAGTATTTTCATTTTGTTAGTAGACTGTTCTTTTTTCCTTTCTTTTTTTTGGTACTTTTTTAGAGATGGGGTCTCATTTTGTCAACCAGGCTGGAATGCAGCGGTGTGATCACAGCTCGCCTCAGCCTTGAACTCCTCAGCTCAAGCAATCTCCCACCTCAACTTCGTGGGTAGCTGGGGCTCACAGGCATATGCCATCACATCTGGCTACATTTTTTTTTGTACAGATGGTGTCTTGGTACGTTGCCCAGGCCGATTTCAAGTTCCAGGCCTCAAGTGATCCTCCCGCGTTGGCCTGCAATCCCAAAGTGCTGGCGTTGCAGGTGTGAGCCACCGCACCCAGCCTGTTACTTTGCTTGGATTCACACAGGCATACTGTACTATGGTTGTCCTGTGGTATCCTCGGGGTATTGGTTCCAGGACCCTCAAAGATACCAAAATTTGCAGGTGCTCAAGTACTTCATATAAAATGGCGTAGTATTTGCACATTACCTACGCACATCCCACTGTGTACTTTAGATTACTTATGACCCCTAAAACAATGTAAATGCTCTGTAAATAGCTGTTACACTGTATTGTTTTAAAATGTGTATTATTTTGGCCGCCCGCGGTGGCTCACGCCTGTAATCCTAGCACTTTGGGAGGCCGAGGCGGGCGAATCGCGAGGTCAGGAGATCGAGACCACCCTGGCTAACACGGTGAAACCCCGTCTCTACTAAAAATGCAAAAAAATTACCCGGGTGTGGCGGCGGGCGCCTGTAGTCCCAGTTACTCGGGAGGCTGAGGCAGGAGAATGGCATCAACCCTGTGGAGGCGGAGCGTGCAGCGAGCCGAGATCGCGCCACCGCACTCCAGCCTGGACCACACAGCGAGACTCTGTATTGCTTTAGCTTAAAAACAGTATTTTCAGTCTGCTTGGTTGAATCCATGGATGTGAAGCCAAGTGTAAGGAGGGCCCAGTGTGCTCTTCTGGGATAATTCTCCTTCTTGCTAAAGCGCACGCTTTACTCGGGAGGCTGGGGCGGGAAGATCGCCGCAGCCCCGGAGATGGAGGTTGCAGTGGGCCGAGACCGCGCCACCGCACCCCAGCCTGGGCGACAGAGCAAGACTTTGTCTCAAAAACACACAAAAACAGAGAAAAACATGACAGTAATGGCTCAACTCACATAGCACCAATGGACCAAGCGTTCTTCTGAGCGCTTTCGGAGTCATCGGTCCTCAGAGCAACCCCTGAGGCCTGCCAGGAAGCGGAACTCCAACCCCGCCGGGATCCCGGCTCCCGGAGGCTCCCCAGCCCCGCCCACCCGGCCATCGCCCCGCCCACCAAGGCCCCGCCCCGCCGCGGCGGTCACGTGGGGTGCGCGCCCAGACTCCTATCCGGAGGCGGAACCGGCAGTGCGGCCCGAAGGCCCACAGTCACCGAGCGCGCCCGGCCATGCGTCCCCTGCGCCCCCGCGCGACGCTGCTCGCGGTCCTGGCCTCGCTCCTGGCCGCTCCCCCGGTGGTCCCGGCCGAGGCCCCGCACCTGGTGCAAGTGGACGCGGCACGCGCGCTGTGGCCCCTGCGGCGCTTCTGGAGGAGCACAGGCTTCTGGTGAGCGCTCCGCGCGCCCGCCCGCGGCCTCCGGGACCCTGTGGTCGCACGGGGAGAGCTCGGGCCCCCCCTGACTGCGCACTGTGAGAGCTTCAGAGACCGGAGCTCCCTCCTCTGGGGCCCTGGCTGTCCCGGGCCCGCCCCGCGCCGTGTTTGGGGGTGGGCTCTCCAGCTGAGTGGGTGCCAGGGCGTGAGCCTGGGGCTGGGCCCTGAGCTTGCCCAGTGGCCGCCCCCTGTAGCCCAGACCGATGCCCAGGATCCTGCTCTTTGAGGTAAACCAGGAGTCTCCCGGGAGTGGGACGCCCCTGCAGCAGGACCTGGCCTGCCTGTCCCATTCCCTCCACCTAGAGCTGAGGGCCCGCCTGCCTGGTAGGGCCGGGGCCAGGGCTGGCGTTGGCCCCTCATCTTACGGCCACTCCCGTTCCGCAGGAAGATGGGACCTCCCAACATCGTTGGTCCTAAGGGTCATTTTATTAGTCACTGAGCGCACGCGCAGCGCCTGAATCCCGCGCCCGGGCAGTCCTGGGCTTGAACATGTGTGTGGGCCGCGCTGCCAGCCATGCTGAGGCTCGGGACTGAGCCGCCCCTTTGCTGTCCCCAGCCCCCCGCTGCCACACAGCCAGGCTGACCAGTACGTCCTCAGCTGGGACCAGCAACTCAACCTCGCCTATGTGGGCGCCGTCCCTCACCGTGGCATCGAGCAGGTCCGGACCCACTGGCTGCTGGAGCTTGTCACCACCAGGTGGGCTACGGGTGGGGCCTGGGTGTCCCAGAGCCCCTTACAGAGGCACAGACGGTAGGGGCAGGGCTGGGGGCTGCTCAGAAGACCCCTTGTTCCCCACTTTCCGCCGAAGCACCGTGTCCTTGCTGGCTGTGCTGGGGTGAGGGCTGTGTGCTGGAGGGAGCCCCTGCATGGGGCACGGTGGGCTTCCTGCAGGTCTCCCTGGAAGCTCAGGGTGGGCTGTGCCGCACCTGTCTCCTCGTGCACCCATGAGCATCCCTGTGTGTGTTTGCTGACTGGGCTGGGCAGGGCCAGCACCTGAGAACTGAGGGGAGGTCTTAACTGGTCACAGCACCCTGGGCCCTGATGCTGGTGCAGGTGGCCACCCTGTGACAGGGAAGCACAAGGTGCGAGGGGCACTTGGGTGTGTGGGGCCTTCTGGAAACACAGAGACCCTCATGCTCTTGGCCGGAGCCGCTGGCTCCTAACAGCAGGATGGGCACTAGGCAGGCCAGGGCATAGGGGGTCCTCTTGGCACCTTGGAGGCTGCATAATGTTGGGGGGCCCTTGTTCAAATAAGATGTCAACCCCGAGCGTCAGGCCAGGCCCATCCCTTCTGAGCCGAGGGACAGCAAGGGTGTGGAGCATTGAGACCCAGCCAGCACTATGGGCCAGCCTGTCTTGGAGGCAGAAGTTCTTGATTTCTGAGTGTTTGGGTCCTGCGTGTGATCAGAGGGCCTCCTTCCCCAGTCGGGGTTCCCCGGTTTCCCCAGGGCAGCTGTGGCACAAGAGTGCAGCTCTTGGGCGGCTCCTCCCTGGGAAGGGTCTCAGCAGTGGCTTGCAGACGTCTGCTGTGGGCGCCCCTGGAGGGAGCAGAGGCTGCTGGACAGACCTGGCCCTGCTATGGGTGGGCATCAGTGGCCTCCAGCTCCCTGTGGCGGGCTCGTGCTGTCTGCACAGCATCGTGCACGCTGAGAAACAGCTGCTCCTCCTCAGCCACGTCCCCAGGGCCCTCCCCGAGGAAGCCTCCTCTGCTCAGAACATCTCTCACAGTGGGGCTGCAGCAGGCTAGCAGCAGGCTGATGCCCAGGGCCCCGTAGTCTCGGCGCAGGTCCTGCAGTGTGGTCACGCCGGCTGCGTCCAGGAACAGCAGCGGGGCGCAGTCGATGACCACTGTGTGGAAGCCGGCCGCCGCAGGCGCCAGCGCAGCCCTGCTGCTAACCGCACCCAGGTCCTTGCCCTGGGCAGGGCTTCCATCGCCGACCTCCCACTCTGAGCCCCGCTCCTTCCTCCTGGCAGCCACGCACCCCGCGTCCAGCCCCGTGAGGCTGTAGAGTGACCGCAGGAAGAAGTCCTTGTTGGCATAGTACAGCGGCCCCCCGAAGCGGAACACCCGCACGCCGGGCTCGGGGACGAGGCCCTCGAACTCTGTGGCATCCTCGTAGAAGGCTGAGTTCCCGATGCGGGCCAGCAGGGTGGCGCGTGGGCGTTGGGTGCGGCCGGCCAGGCTGAGCAGCGAGAGGATGACGCCGGCCAGCAGCCCGGCCTCTGTGCTGACCAGCATGCAGGTGGCCGCGGTGCCCGCCCAGACCAGCGCGTCGGCCGGGCTCATCTGCCACAGCCGTGGGAGGTCCCACACCTTGCGCAGGGCCCCCCGCAGGCTGACCACGATGACACAGGCCAGCACGCTTCGCTGGAGGTCGTGGAACAGCGGTGCCAGCGCCAGCAGCACCAGCAGCACCACAGTGGCGCTGACCACACTGGACAGCTGTGTCCGGCAGCCAGTGGCTGTCTTCACCAGACTCTTGGCCAGAGCGGCGCTGGTGGCAAAGCAGTGGAGGAAGGCGGGTAGCACGTTGCAGCAGCCCACAGCCAGCAGCTCCTGGTTGGCGCACACAGAGTAGCCATGGTTGCGGGCGAACATCTCCGCCAGCGAGATGGAGAAGGCCGCGCCCACGAGGGCCAGGGCCACGGCATCCAGGGCCACACGCTGCATCAGCCTGGGCTCCGGGACCTGAGGGGGCATGAAACCCGTGGGGATGTCGCCGGCCACGCTGGAGCCAAAGCGCCTGTGGAGCTGCCCGAAGTGGGACACGAGTGTAGCCACCACGATGACCAGCAGCTCCGTGGGCAGGGGCACCCGCAGGCGGCGTCGGTAGCGGTCTGAGAGCTCCTTCGCAGCTAGCAGCACCACCAGGCACACCGTGCTGGTGACCACGTCGCACACGTTGGCCTGCCCAGCACTGCGCAGCAGGCTTAGCCATGTGAGGACCACCATGCCAGGCCCCTGGTGCCGTGGGATCCGCACACCCAGCAGGTGCTTGAGCTGTGAGGTCAGGATGGTCACGGAGGCCCCCATAGCAAAGCCGTCGAGCAGTGGCTGTGAGAGGTAGGCAGACACGAAGCCCAGCCGGAGGACGCCCATGAGGACCTGTGGACGGAGTGCAGTCAGGCCAGCAGGCGCCTGGCGGGAGCCACGTGCCCCTCACCAGCACCTGGCGTGGCCCGAGGGGTGGTGGTCACGGCACAGGGCCTGACAATTCTGTTGCGGCACCATATGTTCCAAATCAGACTCCTCACACGGGCCTGTGTTCTGGCTCCACGCGTGCTCATGCCTGCAGACACTTGGGACATCCACACGGGCGTCACACGTGCACGCAGTTGGCCACAGACACATGTAACCTTCTCACGTGCAGAAGCCCGTTTTATTTCAGAATTAAGATCTCTGGCATCAGAAGGTAGCCCCTTCCTCCTGCTTCCCACACGTGGCGCCCACTACCCCCCATGCAGATGTGGAGCCAATGGGGGCCAAGGTGGACAGGCCAAGGCAGGAGACATTCAGGGATGGGGAGGCCATCCCCCACCCCACCTAGGACAGAAGGCCTGGGAGGCCACATGGCCTCAGTCTGGCACCACTGAGCCACAGCCACACCTGGCCTGCTGGCCCCCACCCAGGCCGTGGCCCAGTAGGCCGGCTCCCTGTGCCCCTCCCCTCCTGCACCCACAGCCCCTCTGCATCAGTGCCTCACTCTGGGATGCCCCAGCACGCCTCAGGTCTGCCCAAGCCTTGCTGTCTTGGGCCAGCACCTCCTCTGCCAACTCTGTGCTTGCCCCCAGCCTTGCCCTTGTGGATGGCCAGCACCTAAGGGGGGGTGCCCTGGGCCCCTCCCTGTGCCCAAGCGGAGCTCCTCACCTGGTAAAGCCCGGTCATCAGCGTGAGGGCGGTGGCAATGCGGATGGCGTAGCAGTCACGCCCGCAGTCCAGCATGACAGCTGAGCTGTTGAGGATGCTGCTGTTGGCCCCAGGCTGCAGGCCGTCCTGGGAGGGGTCGAAGCCGGCCAGCTGGAGCTCCCGGTCCACCACCTGCCCCACCATGAGGCAAAGCAGGCTGAAGATGCCCACGGAGACGTGCCGAGAAGTGCCCATGAGGAAGTAGATGAGGTTGGCGAAGAAGGACGTATAGAGGCTGTAGATGGGCTGCAGCCCGGCCAGCAATGAGTAGGCGATGGCCTGAGGCACCAAGATGATGCCGATGACCAGCCCGGACATGACGTCACCTGCCAGGTACTCCCGCGGGCGGTACTGACGCAACCAGCGCGTGGCGGGGAGCAGGTCCTGCACCAGCGCCCGGGCGCACAGCACGCTGCACGAGCAGCTCCGCCACAGCCTGGCCTTCAGCATCTCACACAGACCCTGGGGTGCTGGGCGCTGCCGTCGGACCAGCACCGGCCCTCTGTCCTGCTGCAGAGGCTCAGGGGACTCGTCCATCCTGCAGCGTCAGGTCCTGTGGCCAACCTGCAGCCGAGAAGAGGGCATGGTCACAGGAGACCCTGGATCCAGGGCCAAACGACAAGGTCCCGGGCAGCAGCGGGCCCCTTGGGGCGGACCCCTCACCCACCCAGGGCTGGGGATTGGTGCTGGGCCTTCTCCGGGCAGTGCGGGCCCCAGCCCCCTGCCCGGTATGGATGGACGCCAGGCCCTGGCGGCTCCAGAACCCATCGTGGGGTGAGATGGGATTACGACACCAAGCCCATACCACGGGCTGTGCTGAGGCCAGCAGCGCTGAGGGGCGGAGTGGCAGGACCCTGTCCAGGCTCAGCTGTGGCCCACTGGCTCTGCATTTCCTGCCTGAAACCCACCCTGTAGCCTCCTGAAGCTCACCCGCCCAATGGGGAGGGAACAGGCTGGGCTGCCACCGCACACACGTGTGCCTGGGGTCAGAATGTCACAGTCAGTGGACACAGGTGCAGGCAAGCCTGAGTCCGGCTGCTCTGCGTCCACCTCCCGCTCCCCAGGCCGGCGAACAGTCCTGCTGTCCCCCCCATGTCCACACCAGAACCCTCCATTCCCCATCCAAACCATCGCCTCCTCTCTCGGAGACACCCTCCCCACCCCTCCACAACCTGCCCTGTGGGTCCTGGGGCTGGCGGAAGTCTCAGGAAGAGGCCTCCTACGTCTCTGCCAAGCCTTGTGGGTGCTGGGACCCCAAGTCTGCCGGGGGAGCAGCGTTCAGACACCAGCCCAGCCCATCCGCTTGGCCTTGGAACAGAATCTGAGAGTATGCCTAGACAGGGGCCCCATAAGGGCCAGCTGGGAGGGGAGGAGGGTGACTGGCATGTTTCCCCTGCCCAGACAGTTCTGGGACGTGAGGTGCCCCTTCCCAGGCTGCACCAGCTCACTGTGGAACGGCCATGATACACTGTCCCGAGGCAGCACGGAGAGGACCTAGCCCGCTGCACACAGCCACCCTGGGCTGGCAGAGCTGGAAGGGCACCTGACCTTTCCTTTGCCCTCGGAAAGCACCGTGGCGTTAGGGAGGTGGTGCTTAGAGGCCTGACCGGTCCCATGTGAGGCCCTGGGTCTGTCCTGTTTGCCGGCTCCAATGTACTTTCGCTTTAAAAACTTCTCAGCAATGTTAGGCAAAGACTTTGCTCCCAGGACACCAGGTGCCCAGGACACCCTGCAGCCTGGGCTAAGCCTGCTATTTGCACGCTGGCCCAGGGTGTGGGAGCTGCAGTCTCCTGGGGGGTGTGTTGGAGGAGTGGGTCAAGCCTGGTAGGTTGACACACGCAGGCTGGGCACTGCATCCCCGGGGCCCAGAGCAGGGGTCCTGGACCTCAGGCAACATTGCAAGAGTTGTGTCCCCGTCCGTGGAAGACCCCACCACACTGGGTCCTTGGATGCCCTGAAGCCCACCCCAAGCCCCTGGGGTCCAGGTGTGTACAGTAGGGCCACCTGCCTTGAGCCTGAGGGTGCCCCTAAGAAATCACGAGTCCAGGGCATTTCTGGCCTCGGCTCCCACGCCCCCCTCTGCTACGACTGAGATCTGGGCCCAGGATGGTTCTTACCTGAGGGAGTCCTCACAGGTGCAGAGGGCCCTGGGATGGCGAGGGGCTGGCAAGACCACTGAGGACCGCAGGGCCCTCTGGCTCCCGTGAGCGGCTGGGAGAGTGGAGGTGGTGGCTCTGGCGCCGACCTGCAGGCAGTGGTCTGTGCACTGGGCTCTGCAGTTGAATTATTTACTTACAGATTGCTGAGTCACGGGTTTATCCAGCCATGTTACCTGATCGGCAAATCCGGGAGTTGAACTGTAATCAGGCTCGTGGTAGTTAGAGCTGTGTGGGCCTCTGATGAGCTCCCAGCCTCCCAGGAGCGGCTGCAGCTGTGGCTCTGCAGCCCTGTCTGGAGGGCTTAGGGACCAGCGGGAGGCAGGGGCTCAGGGGCTGAGCACAGGCAACCCTTCAGCTCTGGGGTCTGGGGTTGACTGCAGCAGCCTTCAAACCCAGGCAGGGCTGAGGGAGGGTTGGTCTCCGTGTCCAGTTGGTGGACACCCTCCTGGTCCTGCAAGGAGCCAGCCTGGTTCAAGCTGGAGCAGGGTGGAGGCTGACAGCCAGCTCAACACAAGGCTGCTGGTGTGTGCAGATGTGTATGTGCTCACTGCCAACGGCAAGGGCTGCCGGGGGTCAAGATGCCATGACTGGCCAGGGGCAGGAGTCCTGGTCTGCCCAGACCCAGCGCCGACCCGCAGTGCCTGGTCACCCTCACGGCTCCTCTGCCCTCCCCTCTACCATAGACTGGGACCGGCAGTGCCTGCTTTATACGGCTGGTGTGAAGATAAATGATTTCTGAAAGTGAACTTCAATTAAGCCCACACATGACAATAAGGGTGAGCTGCTTTTTAAAAAGGAATTATTGGCCAGGCACGGTGGTTCACTCTTGTAATCCCAACACTTTGGGAGGCCTAGACAGGAGGACTGCTTCAGGCCAGGAGTTCAAGACCAGCCTGGTCAACATAGTGAGATGCTCCTCACCTTTTCTTTTTTCTTTTCTTTTCAAGGCAGAGTCTTGCTCTGTTGCCCGGGCTGGAGTGCAGTGGCGTGATCTCTGCTCACTGCAAGCTCCGCCTCCCAGGTTCACACCATTCTCCTGCCTCAGCCTCCCGAGTAGCTGGAACTGTGGGCACCTGCCACCACGCCCAGCTAATTTTTTTGTATTTTTAGTAGAGACGGGGTTTCACTGTGTTAGCCAGGATGGTCTCGATCTCCTGACCTCGTGATCCGCCCGCCTTGGCCTCCCAAAGTGCTGGGATTACAGGCATGAGCCACCGCGCCCGGCCAACCCCTGCCCTCCAACCTTTACAAAACTCACAAGTAAAGAATTAGCTGGGTGTAGTGGTGTGTGCCTGTATCCCAGATACTCAAGCGACTGAGGTGGGAGCATGACTTGAGTGCAGGGGTTTGAGGCTGCCATGAGGTACGATTGTGCCACTACACCCTAATCTAGGCCACAGAGCAAGAACCTGTCTCAAAAACAAATGGTATCACTGGCCCAGCACTTTGGGAAGCTAAGGTAGGAGGATCGCTTGAGCCCGGGAGGTCCAGGCTGCAGTGAGGTATGATTCTACCTTCACTCCAGCCTGAAAGTCTGTCTGTTTTTCTTTTTCTTTTATTCTTTTTTCTTTTTTTTTTTTTTGAGACGGAGTCTTGCTCTGTCGCCCAGGCTAGAGTGCAGTGGCACGATCTCGGCTCACTGCAGCCTCCGCCTCCCAGGTTCAAGCGATTCTCCTGCCTCAGCCTCCTGAGTAGCTGGGACTACAGGCGTGCACCACCACGCCCGGATAATTTTTGTATTTTTAGTAGAGGCAGGGTTTCACTATGTTGGTCAGGCTAGTCTTGAACTCCTGGCCTCGTGATACACTCGCCTCGGGCTCCAAAAGTGCTGGGATTACAGGTGTGAGTCACCATGCCCGGCCGGTTCTGTCTCGAAAAAAAAAAAATTCCTTGGGAGCCTCAGGTCCCCCCCCCCCCCCCCCCCCCTTTACCGGGAGTATTGCTTGGGGGCCTGCCCCGGGCACCTGTGGCCAGAGGGTGAGTGTAACAAGGGGCTGCAGGCCTCAGTGCTCTCCCATCCCAAGGGAGGCCAGGAGGCTGTGGTGGGTCCCTCAGGTGGGGCTGGAAGGCCAAGCTGGCCCTGGCACCTTGGGCAGCCTGACTTGGTCCTGGGAACAGAAGTCACAAGGTCTATTTCTCCTGTCTGCGTGGGATTGAAGCCAAGGGTCTCGCAGAACCAGCTGATGTGCTGGGGCTTCATTCCCCCCAGGACATGGACCAGACATTGATGGGGCAGAGCCCCAGAGGGAGGAGTCCCTGGACACTCACTCCACCAAAGGTACCTCCTCGTGGAAGCCATCTGCCAAGCCCTGCTAGTTCCCCACAGCCCTGGGTCGGCCCAGGGAAGACTGGGCTGCAGTCCCCCCCATTTGGAGGTGAAATGGAAGTGGAATGTAGTTGGGGTGGCCACAGAGTAGGAGACACTGAAAGTGTGAGATGTGGACAGGGCTGAACAGGCTCCAGGGTCTCGTACCCCCGTAGCCTCCACCTGGGATGCCCTCTCCAAGTCTCATTTCTCCTCAGAGCCCCTGCCCTGTCCTCCAGAGTCTAAGCCCTCGCTCCCACCCCTGCCTAACCTGGGCCCCAGTGGTCCCTGGGAAGCAGCTGTTTGCCCAGCAGTTGGGAGCTGTGCTCTAAGAAGCAGTTGGCCAGTGGGTGGGATAAGGCAGTCACGCAGGGCCTCAGGCCCCTCGCTGGGACAGATAAGGACCTCTCTGGGTGCAGCCACCGGAAGGGTGGTTGGAGAACTGGGGAGACCCAGGGGGCTGGGCTTGCCCCCTCAATGTCTCCCTAAAGGAGCCAGGGAGGACCTGGGTGCTGGAGCAGGGGTGGGCGCCTGGTGCAGACGCCTGCATGCAGGGTAGGGTGGGCAGTGTGGGGCCACAGAAAAACCTCGAGTGGGAGGTGTCCCTTCCCCCTCAGGAAGGGTGGTGGAGGTGTCCAGAGGTTGGCTTGTGGGGACCCATGGTGAGATTTTAGGCAGGCAAGCATAGTTCAGGAACAGCCTCAGCCACACCGCAGGGGCCTGGCCTCAGGGGTCTTCTGTAGGCATTGGGCCTCAGGCCCTTTTAGTCCCCACCTAGGCTGGGTGTCGAAAGCAGGTGAGGTCATCATTATAGGATCCTTGGGGTCTGACCGGCCCCTCTCCCACGTGTCTGCCTCAGTTTCTCTGAGCACTGAGGCAGTGGCTGGTGCTGCCCTGTGGTCAGGCCCAAAGGCTGAGTGCCCAGAGATCCAGAGAGAGTGGGTAGCATATTCTACCCCAAGCCAGTGCGCGCACAGGGCTGCCGACACCTTCCTTCCCTGCTTGGCCCCAGCAACTGGGACCTACCTGAACCGCCCTCCGGCCTGATCCCGTGGCCAGTTTTGTGCCACACGCTTACTTCCTCAGTTTTGTCTTTAAATCAGCCCTTTTACATTGGAGTCCATTTACTGGGAAAGGAGACTTGGTATCCTTGCCTCCCACCCGTGGAAAGAAGCCCGGCTGACAGGGCTTTGGGACCGGACCCAAGTTTATTCCCAGTGACCCTCCCGCGGGTGGGCGTGCTCCGAGGTCTGGAGAAGAGGAGGCCCCGGCCCTCACCCTCTAGCACCTGAGTCCCCTTCGTCCTGGCCACAACTGCAGCTTCTCCCGAGAGGCACTTCTCCAGTGCCCGCCCTGCGCCCCCAGCCCAGCGATCCCGGCCTCTGCCCCTGACCCGCAATCTCCTTCACCCTCAGGAGCGCTGGGCCCTGCTCCCCACCCCGCGCGGTGTGCCCCCCCGACCACCTGCGAACCCCCATGCACGCGCGGCCCCGCCCCGCGCCCCCACCGCTGAGCACGCGCGCCCCACGCACTCACCAGGCCCGGCAGCCGCGCGGTCCTCCCGGCGCACGCGCTCAGGCCCAGGGGCGGGGACGCGGGGCCCCAAGCGGCCGCCCAGCCGCGACCGCGCGGTGAATGAGCGCGTTGTGCGGCCGCCGCGGCCCCAGCGACACCCGGAGCGGGGTCTGGCAGAGCTGATGCAGAGCTCCGGCCCTGGGGGTGGGCTGCGCGCTCCATCTCGCCCGCCCAGTACTTCCCAGTGGGGGCCAGGCGGAGGGTGGGGCCTGGGGTCTGTAGACCGACCCCGGGGTTCCTGGGGGCGGGGGTCCCTGTCCCGGGCTCCCCTCGCTGCGAAGCTGGCCCTGCCAGATGACACTCGGGCACCTTGAGTGTCAGGCTAGGGACATCTCTGACGCTGGGGCTCCCCCCGCTAGCCCGTGTCAGGGGCCGCCGGGCTATCGCCTTGGGGTTCTGCAGAGAAAACCTGAAGCCCAGCTGGGCCTTCACTTTCCTCCAGGTCACCTTGTCCTGCTACTCCAACTCCGTGGGACTTTGGAATGCGCCTTTTGGGCATTTAATTTGTATCCAAGTGCTTCTCAAGTCACTTCTTTGCTACCACTGTGTTCTTTTGGATAGAGGGGACGGGAGGTGGTAGGGGCTGGGTGGGGTGGACACCAGGGACTCCTGCTGCTCCTGCAGCCCTGGGTACAGGAGCAGGTGGGGACCAGCAGAGGCGGGGCAGAGCAGGAGCCCACACCTGAAGGCTGTAGACTCCAGCTGAGGCTCTGCGTTGATCTTCTACACCGTGGGAGGACCAGAAGGGAGGCGTTGAGGTATCCAGACCTTTGCTGTGGAGCTGGGGGTGCTGTGGCATGGGGAGATTGACAGGGACCTGTATAGGGCCAGATTCCAATCCATGGTGGTAACCCCGTCCCCCACCACTGCAGATGGGGCACAAACCCAGCTGTCATAGGAGGTGCTCACCTTCTGTGTGGCATCCGCAGGAATGCCAGCCTGGCCAGCCTGGTCTCTGCTTCTCCAGGCTCAAGGCTGGCTGCTATTCCATTCACCCCATCCCCCTTCCCTCAGGCCAGAAGCATCACCCACAGCCCCAGACCCCTGCACACCAGCCTCCTCACCCAGTTCACCCTCAGATGTTCAACTCCACATGGCCAAAACCAAGACCAGTCTCACTGCAAGCTCATCCACCCGCCCAGCTGCTCAAGCTGAAATCCACAGTTGCCCTGGACCACTTCCCCTACCCCCGCACTAGCTCACCTCAAACCTCATTAGTCCATCTGCTCCAGCCTCTGCTCACAACCTGCACAGCCACCACCCAGTCTGGGCACCATACCTCTCTGGGCCACCACCATGGTCCCCAGCCAGTCTTCAGCTCCCACCCTGACTCCAGTGGGCTGCCAGAGGGATCCTTGAAAAATGCCCTGGCACTGCTCACTCAGAACGCTGAAAGGCATCCCTGTTTTTTTCCTGGTCAGGGTCCCATGCTCAAAGCAGTCACTTCCAGACGCCGTGGAGCCTCATCTCCTGTGATATCCACCCTGATTCTGTCCCAGGCCCACCAGCTGCCTCCCTACTCCCTGATTATCATGTGCACATTCCTGTCCCAGAGCCTTTGCACTGGCGATGGCATCTGCTGCCTGGACGTCTTCCTGCTGGCCGGTCCCATTGTGTAGTAGCCTTAGATGTCTCCTCAGAGAGGTCCCTCGCTGGCCATCAGGCTCCTCACTCCCTATCATATCCCCTTCACCAAAGATTCCCATTCCCCGATGATGCCTGTCCCCTTGGAACATAGGCCCTGTGGAAATTCAGCCCTGTCTGCAAGTGCAGTGGCAGGGCAGCCGCCTTCTCCCTTTCCTGCCCGCCCATGTTGCCTCTTAGGGTGTGGGAGGGAAAATGGGGCACTCCTGGGCCTCCAGGAGGTACAGAGAACGAGACTGGGTTGCCTACCAGGTCCTGCCTAGCTCCTGACCCCTGGCCCCTGCCCCTCAGGACCTGCCTGCCTCGTCCCACTGAGCCTCAGGGCTATTACGAACCCCCACCCGAAGTCTTCCATCTCTTGATGGTGTCAGGTTGGGGGGTCTCCATGTACAGATACTGTAGTTCACACTCGGCTTTCATAGGGTTGATGATTTTCCAAGGGGAAGGGCCCGTCGGGAAGCCGGGATCTGAGTCCCGGGTGGCACCTTGCAGGGTCTCACATGCTCTGTTGTGGCCACGGTTCCAGCCTGGAGCATGGAGCTGTGTGGGCACCCTGCGTCCTGACGATGACCGTCCTTCTGCAGGGGGTCCACTGGATGGGGCCCAAGCTACAACTTCACCCACCTGGATGGGTACCTGGACCTTCTCAGGGAGAACCAGCTCCTCCCAGGTGAGCTGTGGGCTCTGCCCTCCCAGCCCTCCTGCACCCTCTTGCCCTGCCTACCCTCTCCCTCACCCAGCCCCTCCGGGTCCTTGGATGTCCATTCAGGGCTGGCCTTGGTGCCAGAGCACAACCTGGCAGAGCATGGGTGTCGTGTGTGGTGGGCAGTGGGGCAGCCCTCCTGTGTTCCAGGGTTTGAGCTGATGGGCAGCGCCTCGGGCCACTTCACCGACTTTGAGGACAAGCAGCAGGTGTTTGAGTGGAAGGACTTGGTCTCCAGCCTGGCCAGGAGATACATCGGTGGGCAAGCACAGGCCCCTGGTGGGAGCGGGGTGGGGGGGGATGGGGTGGGGACAAGGGATACCTGCACCTTGATCGGTGCAGGCCCTTGGGCCCCAGGCTCGGGGGTCCTCCTGGGCAGGCTGCACCCCTGTCACCTAGGCCACCACCCAGGTCTTAGATCCCTTTGAGCCAGGGCTTCCTGATGTGGGGCAGGAGGTTGGCCTGTGTGGAGGTGGGGTTCATCTTAAGCCAGATGCCCTTCATCACTTTGCACCCTCCCTCCGTGGGAGTCACTGAGGCGAGATTCACCTGTGCTGGGGGGACAGCAGGGCTCCTCTGCAGGTAGGTACGGACTGGCGCATGTTTCCAAATGGAACTTCGAGACGTGGAACGAGCCGGACCACCACGACTTTGACAACGTCTCCATGACCATGCAAGGTGTGCACCACTTCCTGGGATCCTGCCTGGCTGAAAGCGGGCAGAGGAAGGCAGGAGCAGAGGCTAAGCCGCTGGTCCCCAGGGCAGGTGTAGACGCAGCGCTCCCCCGATCCAGGCTTCCTGAACTACTACGATGCCTGCTCGGAGGGTCTGCGCGCGGCCAGCCCGACCCTGCGGCTGGGAGGCCCTGGCGACTCCTTCCACACCCCACCGCGATCCCCGCTGAGCTGGGGCCTCCTGCGCCACTGCCACGACGGTACCAACTTCTTCACCGGGGAGGTGGGCGTGCGGCTGGACTACATCTCCCTCCACAGGAAGGTGCGCCCTACTCCTCCGCCCGTCCCAGGGTTCTGCGCCCTCAGCGGCGGTGCCCGGGGAGGCGCTGACCCTGGTGGTACTGAGGCGGCCACACCCGCAGGGTGCGCGCAGCTCCATCTCCATCCTGGAGCAGGAGAAGGCCGTCGCGCAGCAGATCCGGCAGCTCTTCCCCAAGTTTGCGGACACCCCCATTTACAACGACGAGGCGGACCCGCTGGTGGGCTGGTCCCTGCCCCAGCCGTGGAGGGCTGACGTGACCTATGCGGCCATGGTGGTGAAGGTGGGTCGGCCCAACGCCCTGCGCGCCCCCCAGCCACCTTCCTCCTGGGACAGGACAGGCGAGCTGTGGCCGTGCCTCGCGGTCCCAGCCGCCCTGGACATCCGCAGGTCATCGCCCAGCATCAGAACCTGCTACTGGCCAACACCAGTTCCACCATCCCCTACGCGCTCCTGAGCAACGACAATGCCTTCCTGAGCTACCACCCGCACCCCTTCGCGCAGCGCACGCTCACCGCGCGCTTCCAGGTCAACAACACCCGCCCGCCGCACGTGCAGCTGGTTCGCAAGCCGGTGCTCACAGCCATGGGGCTGCTGGCGCTGCTGGGTGAGCCCGGGCCGCTGGGGTGGGCCGGCCAGGGCCCTCCCGGCTGAGGAGCGGCTCCTGCGAAGGCCCCGCTGCGGGGAGCACGCCTCTTCCAGCCGCACGCTTCCCGGGGTCGGCCTCCGCGTGGCAGGGCCTGGGGACTCCTTCATGAAGGGGAAGGGGAGCGAGTGGTGGGAGGCCCGGTCCTGGGTCGGGGGGCGGCGGGGCAACGACCCCACGCGGCGACGGTCCCCGCGTCCCGCAGACGAGGAGCAGCTCTGGGCCGAGGTGTCTCGGGCCGGGACGGTCCTGGACAGCAACCACACGGTGGGCGTCCTGGCCAGCGTCCACCGCCCCGAGGGCCCAGCCGACGCCTGGCGTGCCGCCGTGCTGATCTACGCGAGCGACGACACCCGCGCCCACCCCAACCGCAGCGTCGCGGTGACGCTGCAGCTGCGCGGGGTGCCCCCCGGCCCGGGTGAGCTGGGGTCCCAGGGAGGTCTCTGGCCCCGCCAGGGCTCTGGAGGGGGCGGCCCGGGGAGCCGAGGCCTGAGCGTCGGGCCCCGCAGGCCTGGTCTACGTCACGCGCTACCTGGACAACCGGCTCTGCAGCCCCGACGGCGAGTGGCGGCGCCTGGGCCGGCCTGTCTTCCCCTCTGCTGAGCAGTTCCGGCGCATGCGCGCGGCCGAGGTGGGTGGGCCGCGGAGGGGCGAGGGGCTGGGCCGGGGTCCCAGGAGGGTGGACGGGGGGGTGGGGACCCGGGGCGGGGTCCCCGAGGCGGTATGGGTAGGAGGCAGAGCTGTGGGCCGGGGGCGTTCGCCCTGAGGTCGGGCCGAGCGTCCCCAGCCCCCCTGGAGAACCCTGAGGACCCGCCACTGCGCCCAGGACCCGGTGGCCGCGATGCCGCGCCCCTTCCCCGCCAGCGGCCGCCTGACCCTGCGCCCCGCGCTGCGGCTGCCGTCGCTTCTGCTGGTGCACGTGTGCGCGCGCCCTGAGAAGCCGCCCGGCCAGGCAAGTGGCAATCCCCCAACCCGCGCTGTGGCCCGCCCGGACTCCTCCTCCCCGACCCCATCACAGCCCCTCCCTCCCCCAGGTCACGCGGCTCCGTGCCCTGCCCTTGACCCAAGGGCAGCTGGTTCTGGTCTGGTCGGATGAACACGTGGGCTCCAAGTGCGTGAGTGGGGCCGCCCCTCCCCCTGCCTAGTCCTAGGCACGCCCCTGGGTCCCGACCCCTTCACCCATGCGGTCACTCGGGCCACTCGCCATGGCCCACCAGCTCCTTCCCTCGAAGCCCCGCGTCCCTGCCCTTCACCCCACACGCTGTGGGCCACTGCACCAGGCCCTGCTAGTGGGATGTGCGTTCTCCTATGGGACATGAAGTGGACAGTTAGGCTCCAGCCCTCTCCTGTCTGGGCAGGAAGAGTGCCCAGGGGCTGGGGAGGTGCCGCGGAGGGGCTTGAGGGAATGGTGCTCTGGGCCACCTGCCCTGCCTGCCCCGGCCTTTGAGGACCGTCTTGACCCTAGCCTTGGTCTTGGCCTGACCTCCCCAGGTGCCTGTGGACATACGAGATCCAGTTCTCTCAGGATGGTAAGGTGTACACCCCAGTCAGCAGGAAGCCATCGACCTTCAATCTCTTTGTGTTCAGCCCAGGTGCGCCCACCACCCGCTGCCCTGGTCTCAGCCACCCCATTCTTCGACCTCAGGGCAGTGTTGGGTGGGGCCCTTGAGAAGCCTGGGGTCAGGAGGCTTTTGGGCAGGGGCAGGTTCAGGTTGGCACACGTGTCCCCGTGTCTCCAGATACAGGTGCTGTCTCCGGCTCCTATCGAGTTCGAGCCCTGGACTACTGGGCCCGACCAGGCCCCTTCTCCAACCCTGTGCCATATCTGGAGGTCCCTGTGCCAAGAGGGCCCCCACCCCCTGGAAATCCATGAGCCTGTGCTGACCCCACTGGGCTGCACCTCCACTGGCAGTCAGCGAGCTGGGGTTGCACCGCGCCCACGCTGCCCTCCCATCACCCCTTTTGCAATATATTTTTATATTTTATTATTTTCTTTTATGTCTTGGTACCAACACCCCCTTTAAAGCGGCTTTGCACACGTCAGTCTCGGGCCCAGGCTCTGTGGCTTGGCCCTGGGCACATTCTGGGGCAGCCTCCAAGGGTAAACCCCGGCGGCTGCTGGGGACCCAACTGGAGCGAGGCCGCTTTCCCCCTCACTCCCACTTAGACCACCCCCAAGCCGGGACCGGAAGCATGTTGAGCCCCTGGGCCAGGCTGGGGAGCCAGCTCAGCCCTGCCTACCCAGGGTTTTCCAGGATCACCCCTGGTGAGGCGGCGTGCCGGTCTCTTGCTCTCTTACTTGTTCTGCAGAGTGGGGAGCTGAGGCTGCATGAGGGAAGACTCCTGTACCCCAGCATGGTGGAGGGTGGGATGGGGGCACACCTGTGCGACCCAGGCTGTGGCCAGCAGAAGAAAACAGTAGCATCCACCAGGCCCTGTGTCTTCTCACCACAGATTGTCTTGGCTCCAGCTTTGAGACATGGGAGGGCCAGATGAGGACAATTTGATGACTGTTTACAGAGATGGAGGCAGGGTGCCAGGAAGCCACAGGGGAGCCCCCAGGGTACTCACCAGTCCAGGCAGGGCTGGGCGTCCTGGTAAGGAGCAGGGACCTTCTGCCCAGGGGTGTGGCCAGCCTGTGGGAGCTGTGCGTAGGAGCCCAGGAATCAAGTCCCCAGTGTCTCTTCCCTCCCTCCAGCATCCTCCCAGGGCCACCCTTAGCTGCGCTCAGCCAGAGGGCTGGGGCACAGGGACACCACAGGTTTCGCTGGAGGCTGTCAGGGGCTCTGGTGGGGGTGGGGGGTGAGCCCGCTGGCTTCACTGCACCTCCCAAAGCCCATGTCCACTGCCTGCCCCAACCAAAGTGGGCCTCCAAGGTGCTGGGGTGGGACAGAGACCCCACAAGGGACCCTCCCCTCACTCCTGGACCTGGGTGTTGTGGCTTTTGGCAAAAATAGTCACATATACTCCAAGTGTCCCCCTCAGCTGGGATTCCTGGTGTAAGCCTGGCCACCAGGGTGGTAGGACAGACCCTCTGGAGGCAAGGTGGTGTCAGCAGGGGGTTCTGAGGCCCCACGGTGCTGGCATCAGTCTTGGCTGAACGGCAAAGCTGCATCTGTCTCCTTCCCCATGAGGCTCCGTCACCGTCTCCTTCTCTGGTGGCCACCAGCTTACCCACACATCCCCACCCTCCGGTCTCACCGATGGGGCCACTTTGGGCTTTGCTGTGAATGGGTGAGGCTTGAGGCCATGCCAAGAGCCAGGGAAGCCGGCACTGGCCGTCAGTCACACACAGCCTCTGTCCCTGCTGGGCCAGTTTGTACCTGGAGCAGTTGCTAGGTGACAGGAAGAGACCATATTTGATGTCCCCTGTCCACAAGGACCTCCAGAGAGTGGATGCCCTCTGGACAAATGCAGGCACTTCTTGGGATGCAGGACCCTCACTCTGCCTGTTCTGGGAGCCCAGGTGCTTGCCTTTTCCCCAGGTCACCTTGTTCCCAAGCTTCTCGTCTTTATCTCCTGAGTCTGGCCAACCCGTCCAAGGATGCTGCCCGTGGTGCAGCTGAGAGTGGCTGGATGTGCCACCTTGGTTCTGCTGTGGGGTGCCTCTTCCGTCTTTCAGAGCCAGCCCCCCCACCCCGGCTATGACACAATACCTGTCCCCTTCTGGGCGACATCATGCACCGTGCGTCCATAAACCACCTCTGCACTTTCCCTTCTTGTCCAGAGGCTGATAAGACTCTTGCCATGAAGCCCTCGGTGTGGGCTGAGGCAGGGGCAGTGATTCAGGAGGAGCAGTTTCATGGGAGCTCTGATCTTCTGCCCGCAGGACTTACTTCCAGATGCGCTGGGACCAAGTCTGGCTCTTACTGGGCGGCTGAGTCACGTGGCCGTTGAATGCTGTTAGACTTCACCAGGGCAGAGGGGCAGCTCCGAGCTGCTTTCCAAGTGACAGGAGGAAATAGCCTTTTCCTGGGATGTGAGGTCTGGGCTTGCCGGGGGCATGGTGCTTCTGCCAGACACTCCAGGCAGGGTGGGGACTGCTGGGTACCCACATTCGCAGCAGGTGGAGGTGTCACAGCCTGGACCCGCTGCAGAGCCTCTTCTGACCAACATTACCTGCCATCCAGGAAACGGGTGGAAGTGGAACGCTTGGGTGTGCACGCCACTCCCCAAGCCCAGATCCACCCGATGTGGCCTCCTAGAAGCGGTGGTGTGAGGCATAATGACAGAGCTTTTTTTTTTTTTTTTTTTTTCTCTTTGAGACGGAGTTTCGCTCTGTCACCCAGGCTGGAGTGCAGTGGCGCGATCTCGGCTCACTGCAATCTCCTCCTCCCAGATTCAAGCAATTCTGCCTCAGCCTCCCGAGTTGCTGGGACTACAGGTGCCCACCACCACACCTAGCTAATTTTTGTAGTTTTAGTAGAGAAACTTTAGTGGAGTTCCACTGTGTTAGCCAGGATGGTCTCCATCTCCTGACCTCGTGATCCGCCCGCCTTGGCCTCCCAAAGTGCTGGGATTATATGCGTGAGCCACTGCGCCCAGCCGTGTCAAACACTTTTTATGTCAACTGAGATCACGTTGCTT